AAGAAAGCTCAAATTCAATCTCTTTAAATGCTGTCAATACTTGATAATACAGAAGCTGACTGGTGGGGTCCTTCAGTCACTACCCATTTCCACCGTAAATAACAAATAGTAAAATTGGGGGGTGGGACTTAGCCATTAATTAGGACTGGCATGGGTGAGAAGCATGGCTGGTTTCTCTATTTGCAAACTTAGCCACCTCTCTTGTTGTTCAGTGTAACTGAATTAGAGCTGGCAAAGTGAGGCTTGCTAATGTCTCTTCATAAGTTAATAAGCCAGTGGAGCACAGTGTCCTAGGTTGGCCAGTATCAGTCCTGTAATTTTAGAAGATTTCGCTGCCCTTTTTAGCAGATATCTGTAGAAAAGAACCATTAAAAATACAAACAGAGCTTGTGTGTTAGAAACAACTGGACCATAAAGGAGGATTTTTGGGCAGGAAGGAAACCAGAGGTATTAGAGCTGTGGAGTTTAAATCACTCTAGCAGCCACTGTTCTAGTCAGCAACACTTCTACACTTTTACTTTATAGTTAAAATAACCCCTGTTGAACCTGAGCTGCTACATCACAGCAGATAAAAATTTAGATACTTTTAATTTAACTTAGAAACTCTCCCTGATCCATACAGCACATATTCCAGAAGGCACTCCATATCCCCCCAGGGAAAAATGGTTTAAAGGACAATGTGCACTTCGTGGTGTCTATAAAAGACTGTAAGGAGAAAATTTGGTAAAATAGGTTCAACACCTGTGGTTATAACAGAGCAGAATGAAAATGCATGGTATAGATATGCTGTCGAGCATAATATAAAGCTCTTGTCAGCAGCTAGTTTTCCTAATGGGACATTTAAAGGAGGGAGTAAGGAATGGTGGCAAAGCAGGGATAGTGGCAAAGCTCTTAAAATGCACTGCCCACTAGTTCCATTGCCACAATTGCCACTCCGCCCAAAAGGCTCTTTAGTTTCTAGATTAGTAACTAAACATCACTCAAGGGATGTTCAGATTTGCCCAAGTGATCTCCAGTGGGTGGCAAGGAATGCTGTTGGGAGTGTACCTTCTTTCTCAAGTGACTCCTCTGCCAAAACAAAACAGTAAAGTCCAAACAGGGCCCCTAGAAAGATCACGAAATGAGGAAAGGGGTGTATTTTGCTGTAGGAGATTATTTCCCCAGTTTGATTCAGCACTGGCTATTATGAACAGTGGTATTGTGTTGGAATACTCAATGCTTGCTTTTCAAGATAATGACCCAAATCCACACACTATTTAAGCCAATTAAAATAAATGGTCTTAAGTGCAGCTAGCTCTGGGTTGGTTTGTAGCCCAATGGGTGGAACCAGCTCTTAATGAAATCAGTAGGAATATTCCCCTCAATAAACTAAGCAAGATTGTTCACAAACCAAAGTCCTTAACAGATTGAAGTGCAGGTATACATACAGAGTGTACAATGGTAAGGTATGTATAGCTGCTGATGGTGTGATTGGACTTGTTTGTTTTTTTAAAAAATGCTGGTTATTTTGCTTGTTAGTTTCCACAGAGTTACATCACCACTTCCTAAGCTAATGCCTCTTCATCTTAAAAGGTACCTTGTTAGGGCTCCTGACCATGTCATTGCATTCTTCTCCTCCGCACCCATGAGATAATATCAGCAGGCTTTATTGCCAGTTTTGAATCACCAAATTGTTCTGTTGCCTTTAGAGGCTAAAATTCAGGAGACAATATCTGAGCCAGAATTCAACACATGAGGCATCTTAGAAAGGGCAAACTAATGGATGCACCCACAGACTAATCGACGGGAACATGGCAATTGGTGATTGGCTTGCGCATGTGCAAATCATCACATGAAAAATTAGTGAAGGGAAATTATGCTTATTTATTGAATTTTAGACCACCTTTCATCCGAAAATCTCAGGGTGGTTTGCTGCATAAAGAAGCAACACTGTACCATGCATGGTCCTTTTAACATACTTATCGTAAGAGTTTGTACAGTGGTACCTCAGGTTAAGAACAGTTTCAGGTTAAGAACGGACCTCCAGAATGAATTAAGTTCTTAACCTGAGGTACCACTTTAGCTAATGGGGCCTCCCACCACTGCCACACTGCTGCCGTGCAATTTCTGTTCTCATCCTGAAGCAAAATTTCAGGATTTCTGTTCTTAACCCGAGGTACTATTTCTGGGTTAGCAGAGTCTGTAACCTGAAGCGTCTGTAACCCGAGGTACCACTGTACAATGATGCGTGAATCATTTGCTCAGCCCTGATACTGTGATGTTGCCTCCTGTATTATTCCATAGTTTAATAATGTGCTGTGTGGAGAATCACTTGCTTCAGTCTGTTTTTAACTTACAAACCCATTGACAAGACTAAGATTCTAAAGACAATTGCCAGGATCCAGCATTCTACACTACAGTCCTGTCCATGTCTGTGAAATGTTCCCATTCGTTCTTGTGGGTGGGGCAATCCATGAGCACTAAAAAAATAAAAATAAGAAAAGCACACACAGCTTCATTCCCAAGAAGCAGGGAAGATGTATAAGGGAGTGAGAGGATTTTTCTGCGAACACTGAAGCTGCCCCATCCCTTCATAAGGTTTGGATGTATGTTTAAATTCATGAAGTCTAAAGTCCACTACGAGACCTTTCATAAAAGCCATGCTTCCTTTTGAACTGATGCTTGTTGCTGCCTATTGGGAAGTGAGGAGGGGTAGAAATGTTTTTGATGATTCATTGACCTCCAGATGCCAAGCTACCAAACACTTGTCAGGTTCAGCTACGCAAGTTGCAACTGGTCAGCCCCACCTTTTCAGCAAAGTCAAGTGGACATTTCTGGAGAATATCTGTGGTGTGAGAAATAACTGCACACTGTCCAGATCAGCTTCTCTGGCATATCTTGAGAGATATGCAGGTGCTTAGATAGTAGATGCAAACACATTTTCACTGAGGTCAGCATTCCCAAGCTAATGGAGATCTGTCTGTGGAGGGGGAAAGCCTCTTGCTCTCCAGTTTCCCCTAGGAAAAATATTATTATTTTTTTTAAAAAAAATATTGGCTAAGCTCTTTCCTCAGAACTTTGTTTATGGGGGATGATTGCAAAGCAAGAGAAACAGGGCTAGGTCTGAACAGAGTGTAAAGTGGGGTGGGCAGGGAATAACACCTCACCACTTTGACTCATCCAAAGACTTGAACTGAGCCCAAACTAAATAGCTCAAGAGGCCCCCTCAGACTTTACAGCCTTAAAAGGTTAATACAAGTTTGGAAGTGCCCTGATAAACATCTGAAGTACCTGTACACTTGGAAAGAATGAAGCTTGTTTTTTCAGATACCTGCTCAAATTTGGCATGCTTAAAGAACCACGCGTCAATCTATAAACACAGGGCAACACTGATACAGCACAGATATCAGGAAGAAAAATAAATATAGGAACATAAAAGAATGGTGTTTTATGTTCTTGTTGAACTTTATCCTCAGTTTTATAGGGGACTGAAAGAGCTATCAAAAGAAAAGCAAAAATACATTGTATGTTGACTAACACAGTACCAAGATCAGTGACCCATGCTGGCATGGTGATTTTGACCTGTGCAATTTTAGGTGTTCATATCTACGAAGGCTTTTTTCACACTGTAGTGTCACCATTGCTGATGAATCTTTATTCCACACCTTCTTGGAGACACCCAAAGCCTATTGGCATCTGAGCTGCAAACCACAATAGGGTTCAGCAAACCCCCATGTCATGTATTTTGTACATAAGAAGTTGTTTGCACGGTCAAACCAAAAGCCTGTTAAGTCTAGCATTTTCTTCCTACAGCAGCAAGCTAGATGTCTACAGGAAGTCTACAAGCAGGGTATGCTGCAGTTGAAGCAAGGGGGTGTTTTCTGGCTCTCTGCATGTTTTATTTTTCCTTACATGATCTGTGAATGACATTGTGTCTTGCCTTTCCTCTCAGGAGCTCGGGGCTATGTGCTGGATCCTGCTCTCCCTCCTTTATTTTTGCACCAGCTCTGTAAGGTAGGCTAGGCTGAGTTGATATGTGTACATAATCAGCATCTCTTGCCCATAGCTTGGTGGGGGGATAGAGGGGCTCAGTCCATATACAGGTACTGGACCCAGGGAATCCTGCTGGCATTCCCAGTCTCTCTCCTCAGCCATTCCACTTGGCTACATGATCTGAGGGGAAAAGGAGGTGAAACAGCCATTTGGCTCCTACCCTCTCAGAAGGACAGGTCTCTTACAGTGACTGACCATTTTACCTGGGCACAATGTGGCATATAAATGTGGCATATAAAGGTTGGTACCAGAATGTACTTATTTTCCTCTTCCCTTCCCATCACTTTTTCATTTTGTATCTTGTCTATTGCACTGTAAGGGAACCAATTATTTTACTCCTTGTGCTCTGCTTAGAAGTATTTGAAGTGCTTAAAAAAACATCACAGCAACATAAGAACACACTTTAAAAAAAACATTGTCTATTTAATCATATCTAGCATTCTTGAAATGACCAACCAAGTGCCTATGGGAAGTCTGCAAGCAGTACAAGGTTGTGCAAGCAATAATAGCACTACTGTAGCCAATTCCCCCCCCCCCCCACAGGCCTTGGAAGCCACTTGCCAATGTCACTAAAGCCTAGCTAAACAAAGTCTGTTCCAGTATTTGAAAGCGTTTTCACCCCTTTAAGAACCATATCTTTCAAATCTGGAATATTCTTGGCCACTATGGTGTTCAGTAGTAAAATAATACAATAAAGTGAGTCTTTTTAGTCCAACTCTCGATCATCTACTTTCCCCCACCTCCCCCATTTTTGTTTTAACACCCCCCCCAAAAAAAAACCCTCTCAAAGGCTATCATAGTCTATTGGACTTTGTATTTGTCTGTGTATTTTGGGCCACAGAGTTTTTGTTGTCGTTGTGGCTTAAAATCAAAAAGAGCATGACAAAAAAATAGACCTCAAACACAGATGAGACTGAAGGAAAACAGCGTAGCTACCCTCAGGTATTGTTGTGGTGTGTGGCTCTCTGGTGGGAAGCATCACTGGACACTCTTGGGCTCAGGTCACACAAGCAGAAAACTGAAAATGGGTGTCATTGTGAGACTGGGATAGACTTATATCAGACCCTGCAAGCGTCCCTATTTTCCAGGTATGTCCCTGATTTAGAGAAGCCACCCCAGTTTCTGATTTGATCCCAGAATGTCCCACTTTTCCTTAGGATGTCCTTATTTTCACTGGGCAAATGTTAGAGGGTATGGAGTTATCCAACCCCTGAGCTGTCTGAAGGCAATCCTGTATAGGGAAGGTTTTTTTAATGTTTAATGTTTTATTATGTCTTTATATATGTTGGTAGCTGCTTGGAGTGGCTGAGGTAACCCAGTAAGATGTGTGGGGTATAAATAGTAAAATTATCATTATGGAATGGGACATCCCTATTTTCATCAGAGAAATGTTGGAGGATATGTTATATCATCTTTGAATCTCTCTTATTTCCTTTATGTTGACAGCTGGTCATGTTTCATGTGGAAGAGGAAGGTACAATAGAGCTTTCTCAAGTTCTCCACATCTCCAGGAGAGGTTTTTGTAATGAGCGTTCTGGGCAATGTGGTATTGTAATGTGAATGTACCGTAAGCCCTTATTCTCATTCTCATTATCATTATCATTATCATTACCTGCCCTTTGCCAAATGTTGCCAGGACAGGACATAGCAATGTAAAATACAGCATTAAAAGCAGTTTAAAATAAATTGCAATCACAACCCCAAGCTTCTGAGGGCAGTGGAACTACCAAGAGGACCCCCTCTTCTGCTCTGAATATGCAAGAGGGTCTGTATGGAAAGAGGAGGTTCTCCAGATATTTGGAGCCCAAATCATTTAGGACTTTAAGCACTAATGTGAGCATCTTGAATTGGGCCTGGAAAGTGTACAAAAGTGTCTCCCTAGACCCACTTCCCTTGTGGTAAGAAACACATTTTTGGAAGTACTGTGCAACAGTCTCAGGTGGACCAACACACAAATATACAAATGAGCCTTTCTCTAGTGTTTTCACTGCATTCATTCATTCATTCATTCATTCATTCTTGTTCTATGCTTGTTGAACTCAGGGATTTTGCATTAAACGTTTTCTTCATCACTGTAAAGCAATGGGATGAGGCAGCTCGTCCCATTTTGCCACCTGAACCAAAATGGGATTGTGCCATCTCTTGCCCACCGCCACTGTGCCCCAACTGCCCCACCACTTCTGCTGCCAAAACTCGGTGAGAGGTGGCATTCTGCAAGGACTTCTTCACCCCAGGGGAAGGGAAGATGAGTGGCAACATGGCGCACCAGAACACATTCCTCTCAATGAAACAGTGGCATTGGCAGAAGCAGTGGGGTGGGCAGAGTACCACCTCTTGCACTTCCACTGCCTGAGGCAGCTGTTTCACCCCACCTAATGGGTGGGCCGGCTGTGCTTATTTATCTTCACTTGGAACCTGTTTTTAAAATACTTCTCACTGGGCACAAAAGCATGCAATACATTGAATATGGAGCATAATTAGCTGTCTGAGGAGGGCTGGTTCTCCTCTTTCATGGCTTTATTTCACAATGTTCCAGTAATATAGGAATACAGAAATCAAATTAGGGAAGGTGGGGGGGGGGGAAACTGAATCATGTTGGAAGAACCACAACCATCTCAGAGACTAGGTCAGATGGTAGAGAGGGCACTGGTTCTGCATTCCTAAATTAGCAAGAAGAACATCAGATGGAGAAACAACAAGCAGCAACCACGCCACATAAGAACAGGCCCTGATATATTGCTCATTTAACAGAACTTTCTGAAAGCACAATGACTTTAAGAGCATTATATTAACTTGCTCATCAGGCAGCACCCAGAAAACAATTAACTTGGGCATCATGCAAATGATGGAACTCAGTAGCTAGGTAAGGAAGACAGTCTCCCCCTGCCCAAACTTGTTCCCTTAACCCACTGTGGGATATTATTCAGCCTCAAGATTGTGCCAGTGATGCCATTTCCAGGGCTGGGAAAAGAAGGTGGAGCATGACATCCTGGCTGTGGGCTCCTAAACCCCACTGGATATATACAAGCTGACTGAGCCATGCTCTTTAGGACTGGGAGGAGCCAACCACAGGTAGCTCACTCTGATCCCTCAATAGCCTCAGTCAGTACCTGTGGGAGGATAGTGGGAGAAAGACTCACCCTTGTGGTTGAAGGTGCTCCAGGGAAAAGTGCTGCCTTGGCTGCTGAACGACTCCAACATTCAACCGCAAAGGAGTCACAGCTAATGTTTACAACCTGATGTGAATCTCAGCCAAAGTTTAACCACCAGAAAATCACAGGAAGAGCTGGGTAAAGAGAAAAAGAAGGGGTCCTGCCAGGAAATAAATGAGATGTTTCCTGTAGTAAACCCCATCTAATATATATCCGCTATCAAAGCCAATCTATTCTCCATTGGTAGAGTCACAACTATGCACAGACTCTCCTGAGTAAGAGGTTCTTCAGTCTTAGGTCTTCTACTTTGACTCTAGTGAAAAGGACCATGAACTTTCCAGTGGTGACAACTGCATACCTGTGGGAAGATGAGTTTTTGCAGGTAACAGTGTTGCTTTGGTGTGACAACACAGTGTTGCATACAGACTGTCAACAGCCAAGTATTCTAGTTTCACACTCCGATGTACTTTTGACATACAGTGGTACCTCGGGTTACAGACGCTTCAGATTACAGACTCCGCTAACCCAGAAATAGCACCTTGGGTTAAGAACTTTGCTTCAGGATGAGAACAGAAATGGTGTGGTGGAAGTGCGGCAGCAGCAGGAGGCCCCATTAGCTAACGTGGTATCTCAGGTTAAGAACGGACCTCCAGAATGTATTAAATTCTTAACCCGAGGTACCACTGTATTGCATAGTAATCAGGGCCTGTTGTTAATTGGGGGCATACAATTCCCATCAACCCTGACCACTGGCGTTGAGGCTAGGGTTGATGGGAGTTAGGAGTCCAATAGCATCTGGAGGTCCATCCCATCCTCACTGATGTAAGCTGACATTCTTACCTTGGAGTAAGTCGCACTGAACCCCGTGGGGATAGTTTTATGTATTTATTTACTCAAATTGTATCTCTCACCAGTATGATTCCAGGGAAGCTAACAGAGTAGCTAAGTAGGGAGAGTGGTATGAAACAACAATCAAAAAGCACAATTTGACAATTTGTGTTCTCTTGCTTTTAGTTGAAACATTTAAGGAGCAAGGAAGCCTCTTTTATGCCTTCCCTCTGTGAATATACTGACTGTGTAGAGCGGGGAACAGGATAGTGGCTGCTGGCTCAGCATCCTGTCCCCTGTCTTCACTGGAAGATGTGGAAAGAGGCCTCTATATGCAAACCATTGTATGTGCTCTTATATGCGATCGATACTTGAAGGAATCAGTGTTGTCTCCAGACTATTCCATAATTATTTGTATTACAAAACTTTCCTATAGTCTATAACCCCATCACACCTTCTGACCATGCATATCCTGAACACATAAAGGCAGAGCCAGATGGCATCTGCTGCCACCAGTAGAAGGTATGAAAGGAACCTCCATTAACATATACTTAAGGGTTCCTAATCATATGGAAGAGCCTAAGTGCCTATATATGCACGAGGACAATATGAAAAAATTTCATTCACACTAATATATCAGGTGGCTAAACAGTTTTTGGAATCTGCCATGTCAGATTGGAAGAGGGGACTGCATAGCTGAATGCTTTCCCATGGGAAAAATATCCCTGCACATACATGGGATGGGGAGCAGGGTGAAATCCACCCTACTTGGATTCCAAAGCAGACATACCTGATCTGATCCAGGCGGATCATGATGCTGATTCGATCAATGGTCCACTTCAGAATCCACAATCTAAAGGATTCCATTACAAGGCTTGTGTGCTGCCTCTCTTGCCTTCAACTGCATCCTTAGAGCACATAATGAAAACAACATACAAGGTGGCCCAAGGGCTGTGCCCTGTCTCTTTTGCTCCCCCTATTTCTACTCTGAGTTCTACTTTTTTATTGTACACCACCCTGTGATCTTTGGTTGAAGCACAGTATAGAAAACAAAGAGCGGTTTTGCAGGATGTATTGAATATTGGAAGCCACCCAGAGTGGCTTGGGAGGCCTAGCCAGATGGGTGAGGTATAAGTAATAAATTATTATTATTATTATTATTATTATTATTATTATTATTAAATAATATTTATTATAAAAGCTTTCAGGCATATGGATTTCCTTGTAGGCCCAGAGTGAAACAGTCCAGGAACCATTTTACCACCTCATCTACTGTTGTGTGAACTAGGCTTCAATGAGAGAGGGGAAACAAAAGTTTGGAAGGCACCCCAGAGTGTTCAGAGCAGTGGGAGTAGCGTAGCCTTCTGTAGCCTGTTATTCAGCTAGAGATGCTTAAGACCCCACCCCGGGGGGGGGGGATTATGGACACCTGTATCTTTGCAGGCAGAAAAGCAGCTGGGTGGGGAGAGAATTTTTGAATTGAGAAGCAGCTATTGGGGGGTGGGGATAGTCAAGGAACCTCGCATCATTTCGTTCTTCACAGACTCACATTGGTGCAAGGATGCTGATGATAACGACGACTTCTATTATTATTTGCTTTCGTTGCCATTGTATTATTTGTTTAAAATTGCCCGGAAAGTATTTCCTGGGATTGTGGGGTATCTAAAACACAAATAAACAAAGAGAAAAAGTTATGTGGAAAATACAAACAAGACCCTTGGCCCACCCACACTCCCATTTGTCCTGTGATTTCAAGTGCTTTTAATGTGTGTCATGTGTCTGAGAGGTGTGGTTTTTTGTCCCACTGTTTTCCCTAGGAAAACCTGCTCTTTACTGCTGAATCAGAACCAAAGTCAATCTGCAGAAAACCCAATTGAGGTTTGTTCCAATTCAGCAGCAAACAGTGGGTTTTCCAGGGGAAAGCCGCAGGACCGAAACAGAAAACAAAAACCCATCTCTCAGACTCATGACTTAAAATCACAGGGCAAACAGAAGTGTGGATGGGAGCCCTGTGTGTTGGGCCTCAGACTACTTTTTACAGGGACAGGCTGTTGCTCAGTGCAAACTGAAACCGTTCCCCCAAATATTTTACAATGTTACAGGTGTATCTGGACCATATCTCAGTTCATGGAAAGGCACCCGTCCTGCATCAGTCAGTACCTCAGACCCTCCTGACCCTGATTAAACTCCTCTGAGCCCAAAGCGGTTAAGATGTCTGGCACAACACAGCTCAAGAAGAAACAGCTGCACCATATTCCGGTTTCCCCTGAGCTTACTTTCAAATAACTTTCGTAACAAATTTCCAAACTGTTTTGCAAATGCCAGTAAGTGCTAAGAAGCAGTTTGAGATTAAGATAGCCGACGTGAAAAAATGTCTCTCAGGAAAAAAAAGGGCTGTGTGCACAGGGATGTTTCGTAAACGTCCTCCAGAGCAAAAGCCTGTCTTGCCAAAACAGTTATAGGTAAGTTGTAGCATAGTGAACTTTAACCTTTAAGACATGGGTCGGCAAACTAAGGCCCGGGGGCCGGATCTGGCCCAATTGTCTTCTGGATCCGGCCCGCGGATGGTCTGGGAATTGTAACCTTTAAGATGTTCCCTCCAAGGCTTTCAAGAGTTCCAGTGAGTGTGATGACTTTAAATCTAAACTGATGAACTAAATAAATGTTGTTGTAAAGTAATAAGATTTTGTAAGCAACAACCTTTTATTAAGTGGTGCAGCAATAAAACTTCTAGCAGTTTTTGCAAAAGCTAAAGAAGGGCCAGTATGGTTTCAAATTGGATGGGGGGACCGCATGTTGAGATCAGGAGATTCAACAAATGTCCCTCAGGGTACCTTCCAACTTTCTATGAGTCTGCTATTCTAAGTGCGTTTTCTGTTTGGAATGCTCCTTTTTATTACAAATCAGGCATCTTTCACTTGAAATCATTACTGTCTTCATATTAATAATGAAATGTCTTTTCTGGTGACGCTTATGCTAATTTCTTTTATTTAGAAAACACTATAGGAAAATCTATCGGATTACAAGCTGTGAGATACCAATGAATACAAACAGAACATTGTTTAACCATCTCGATCAAGCAGTTGATACAAGGAATGTACATCCACTTTGGACGAGGCCTAAATATTGAACGGCAGCAGACCACTCTGGACGTATCAGGACTTCCTCCCAAGAGAACCTGCTCTTCTCAGCACTGGACTGAAGTGAAGCAGACTGGTCCCAAAACTTTGGATTCCCTTTAGAGCTTCACAGAGTATGAGGACAACTGAATGTGTGCTTTCAGCTTGCAAACAAAAAGTAAAAATTTCATTCAAAATGTTTAGGAGAAATTTGCAACAAATGCTGAAAAAATTCCATGAGAGATTTAAAAAAGAAAATCCCCAAATTGCGGCAGAAATGTAGAGAACCAAAATTAAGTGTGTGTTGGGGGGGGGGGAGAAAATCCAAGTGAACCAAAATTAGTGGATTTTTCTACCCCTAGTGTGGGGACAGCTGTCCAAGGAGGAAAATAAAAGCTGTACCCCTCCCCCAAAATGAAAGGGGAGGGTTGAAGGTGAGCCCCATTGAGGCCCTAAGTGCTAGGCTTCCCCCAGTTGTGACTGGGATTGCAGCCTCCCCAAACACCCTGCAAGTCAATGGGGAATCTCTATAGATTTGCATGGAGGAAAAGACAGGTGCATGCATCCTCCAGAATGGCTGGTAAGGGAGAAAAGGACTCTTGGGGCAACAGATTATTCGGGGGGGGGGGAGGTAGGCTGCAGCTTGCTCCCTCCTGTTTTCAGCTTGCAACCTTTATTTTCCTTGTTTAACAGCTGTCTCGGTGAATGCCTTCCTGGCTTGCACTGATGGAAGTGCAGAATAGGTGGCAGCAAAAATAGTGATAGCTCATTATAAAAAGAAGCCTTTTCCACCCCTATTTCTGTTTTGATTGTTTTGAGTTAGAAATACAACAGACATTGAAAATACCATATTTCAACATAAGAAGATTTGAGGGGCATGCACAAGGCATGGCAAATTTATGCAGAGATGGGCAATATTTGCAATATGTTAGAATGAGAAAAATAACAATGTAATTAGATACTTCATACACGTCTCATTATTTTTATCATTTTATGATAAAAATTTGTTCAGTACTTATGTATTATTAATATTGTTGATCAATCTGAATGCCAGACACATTTATCTGCCTATCAGATGCCATGAGATTGGACACCTGGTTTTATTTATAGCTTGGTGGCCATTTCAAGGGATACATTTGGAACTGTAACTCGAAGTGGAGGGTTTCCTCCATAAGACTTATGCCACCATAGAGTTCAAATATGTTCGCCAATCAGAATTATTATTATGCTTTACCAGTGTATGAGTAGAACACTGGACTCAATGGGCCAGCATGTTTCCTCCTATGTTCTTATGAGTTGAACTGTCATTCTCTGTCTACATCCAAGGGCATTATTTCATCAAGTAACTTGTTGAATGCATCTGTTGGTATTTTAAGCATTTTTGTTTTGTTTTTGTCTTTAAATATTTTGTCACAAGTGTCAAACATTAGTAAAGTATTCATATAATTTCTTCTGCAATCTCCATGTTGTCTTTAACAGCAACCATTGCTCTGGAATCATTCATATTTTCAATCTATTCAGCAATGGCAGAGGTACCAGAAAGGTTTAGTAAAGGTAGTGGGGTACTCTTTGGGATGTGCTTATTATGACCTCATCTATATGACTTCATTATGGCACTGTGCCATCCTGACAAGTATAGGCTGTCATCAATAAACCTGGTACCACCTGTATATTGTGGGTCAATCTCAGGAGAATTTGAAGGGAGTTAACTCTGACAAAAACTGATTGGGACCCCATCAGCTGGTAAGTGGGCACTCCAACCAAGATTGCTTTGGAATTTTTTATGGGTGTCTGTTCTCTGTATTGGCATGAATGGTCAAGAGCTGTGGAAGTTTGTGTTGCCCAGGATTTTGCAGCAGAACATGGAGAAGACATTAGTCAATGCTTTCACCCAGACTAGTGCCTCAAACTAGTTGCCAAACAGTTTGATGTATCTAGGTACAGGACTCAAACTACATTATATATAGGTTTTTCATGTCTTTTCATGTGGGTATGTATAAATCCAAAATCAACCTGGGTGGACTGTGAGTTTCGGAAGAGGAAGGCTGGATGGAGAGAGGCTACTCAAACTTCCCCCCTCTATGGATTTCTATGCTCTAATCCACCTTCCCTAGCCCCCCCCCACCATCCATGTTGAGAAAGATATAGGGGTGCATGTGGCTTCTAAAAAAAAGTCACATACAGACACATGAAAAGGAAGAGGGAGAAGATGTGGAGGCTACGATTTGTAGGGAAAGGACCTTGAGAAGATATGATAGAGTGAAAGATACCTTTCCCAAACATTAAACAGAGTGGGTCACCAAAGTTGCTCCTTTCTCAAGGCACTCTGTCGTCTAGGCCTGGACCCCTACTTGACCATGCCTATCAGACAGCCACAACCTATCTGCTTGCCACTGGATTCTTGTGCCTCTAGAGTCTAGCCTAGCATGACTACTGTCCAGCATCTTGACAATGACCAAGATCTGTCCTCATTTTTTCTTGTTTACCAGGAACAGAGATCATTTGCCATGTAAATATTTATATCAGGCGTTGTGGCACAAACATTTCTGACATCTGTTGATAAAAGTCAAGACCAACTGAAGGCCCAACAATGATTAACCCATCTTCATATCCATCTTTTATCAATAAAATACAGGATCTAGCATGTTTCAGAGATGAATATTAAACATAAGTCTCATGACTCAAATATTTACCACATTCTCTGCTGGCTCACCAAGTGCCTTCAATATATGACTCATTTTCACCCTTGTTTTCATCATTTACTGGTAAGTGTTGGTTTCTATCATGACAGATTGGCAACCTCATGCCAAAGACAATGGTGCAACATGGAGGGTCATACAGTCCCCAGGGCACATTTGTCAGAGGTGATTACTGCAAAGCATTATTTATATAGGACAATATCCCATGCTTGATGCCTGCAGGGCGCAAGTGGCTCAAGTCTGAATACTGATGCCTTCCTCAAAAATCAGAGATGAAGAGATGTGTCACAAATTGACACAAAAAATGGAAAATTGGGAGAATGAGAAACTGTGAGGAAGGGAAATTTACAGATTCATTCATTCCTAATCATGTTCCCCACCCCACTAGCTCACCTGCTTTCTAAACTAAAAAGCCCAAAACATAGACTTTCCTCAGTTGTTCCATTCCCTTGATTATTTTGGTTGCCCTTTTCTGAATCTTTCCCAGCTTCACAATAACTTTTTGAGATATGGCATGACCAGAACTCTGCACTGTAATCCAAGGGCATTGCATTGTAGAAAGGCATAGACAAGGCCAAGAAGAATGTAAATTGGCGTCTATTGGTGGTCCATGTTGAGGAGATTGAGAAGGATTTCTGACTCTCAATTGTGAAACAGTAACAGCAGTGGGTCTTAGCCTGGAATGACTGTGAGCTCAGCTGGTGCTCAAAACAAACCCATTTGTTCAACAGCTGCTGAGAGGCAGTATACTCCTCCATGCTAAGTATGTGTCTTTTGCATCTGGCTCCAGCTGGAGGATCTTGGGATTCGAGTAAAGCACCAAGTAGATTCCATAAGCCCGAAGTCTACCTTCCTCTGGGCTAGAGATCAGGAAGAAGTGATGGACTTTCCCCTTTTGCTGTCAGCCACATGAGCAGTGAAATCTCAGCTTGGATCTCAGTCTGTTGACACAAGTCAGGTGTACTTGCATGCAATGCTGGAAACAATGTACATGTTCTGTTCATAGTGGTTTCTTTGCAAGCAATGCAACTTCTTGGCTGGGCAACTGAATGTACAACATCCACAGTTCCCTTATCTGCTATGTAACCATCCTGGTCTGAAGACATCATGTACTTGTCTATCCCTGCTCTGATAAAAATAAAGCATATAAAATACAAATACATACACATACTATCCCAGGCCAAAAATGCTCTCAGGAGAACACACTGTGACTAGATAAGAAGGGGCAGGCTGGCACGTAGCTAGCTACCTTTTTGTATGCTGATGTCAATAGGACTATCAGCAAGAGGGAGGGACCAATTCAGTTTACAGGAGCACCAAAATGTGGATCCGGACTGAGGAATAGTAAAGGGAAAGATTGCTTATAGACAAAACAATGAGGTGACCTCATTGGAAGGTTATAGGTTTAACTAGTAGATTAATCAACCTCACCTTTAGTTGGTTAACTGTCTAGGACAGGCATGGCCGAACTTGGCCCTCCAGCTGTTTTGGGACTACAATCAGTTGCGGAGCTTCATGCTCTGGCACCGGGGGGTGGAGAGCAGGCAGGGGCAGGGCTGACGCGCGTCCTGGGGGTGTGGCGCCCAATGTGGGCGGGGGGCAGCCGTGATGGCACCCCACTGGGATTGCACTGCCTGGGGTGGTACGCTCCCCCCCCACTCCTCTTCCTCCGCCAGTGACTACAATTCCCATCTTCCTTGACCACTGGTCCAGTTAGCTAGGGATGATGGGAGTTATAGTCCCAAAACAGCTGGAGGGCCAAGTTTGGCCATGCCTGGCCTAGGAAGTAGCAGCACCTCTGTTTATTGAATACAATTTCTTTGAGTTGGATCCACACTGATAGTACAACTTTATGGTACCTGTCTACTTCAAAATAAGTCTCATTAAGTGGGCACAGAATGCCAGCCTAAGTTATTTGTAACTGAAATGAAATAAATGCGAAAAGGTAAACAAGATTTTGATCCCATTGATTTCAACGGGAATCAAGTAGAACTAAGGCTATTGGCTCTGCCTCCATGTAGCGTTGCCCTCCCTGCCTTCCACCCCACCAGCTGCCAACACCAAGAGTGAAAATCTGGGTGGAGTTTTTGAGCTTTTTCTCCTTAGATTTTTAAAAATAAAAATAGCCCAACTGGCCATAGGTTTTTCTACAACGTTTGATCATTGGCAGACACGTTTCACTTCTCTTGCAGTGCTGTGATGCCCCAGAGGGATATACAGTGGAACCTTAGTTCTCAAACTTAATCTGTTCCGGAAGTCCATTCCAAAACCAAGACGCTCTTTCCCATAGAAAGTAATGCAAAATGGATTAATCCGTTCCAGACTTTAAAAAACAAATCCTAAAACAGCAATTTAACATGAATTTTACTATCTAATAAGACCACTGATCCATAAAATGAAAGCAATAAACAATGTACTCCTTTGGGAGTTCATTAGCTTTGAAAAGGAAAACATAGGAGAAGCAATTCATTTGTAATTATCTGTTGATGACTGATATTCCAATGACTATTGTGTGCCGTTAGATCTGTAAAAAAAAAGAAGAAGGTATATTTCCACCTCAGCAGACAGCAAAACAGAATAAAGGCTTCTGCAAAATAAACCAGTTACAACAGAATAGAAAATACCATATGAAAGTATAAATGAATTTCAGAACAGATTGGTACATATTTGCACATCTCTAATTACACCACTTGAATTTGCTGGAATGTGACTGAATTCCACCTGAAAATAGTGATAGCCTGGAAGCACCAAAGGCCTTATCTAACATCCAAGTGGAAATTCTGTTGTGGACAAGAGAATATTTCAGGCAATAATGTGCCACGGTGTTCATACATATCAAATTCCACTCCTCTGAATAGCTTTCAGGAAGCATTGGGAAAGGGCTGGGGCTGGAGGCAATTATTAACAAAGCTTTATTGCAAACACCAGTCTTTGGGCCACTCTCAGGCACTGTAGCAAACTTCCCATGAGAACACAGTGTGCCTCTTAACACACTGCAGGATCCAATTAGAAGAGACAGTGACCGTAATTAGCATGCTCAAGAAAACACATCTAAAGACAGCTGTGACATATTCTGTTGGGTCAGGCAGGAGCAAGATAGAATTCTCATAATCGCCCTCCCATCCAGTCAGCTTAAAAATGAAAAAAAGTTTTGACCTTAACTGACACAGTGATGAAGCTTGTTCTACCCTCAATCATCCATCCCATCTTCCCAGGCCATATGGCCTAACACCTCACTCACCAGCTTTTCAACATGGCCCTCTGACTTCAGGGCTCCAATCCTAAGCAGTCATTAAAGAGCCATTTCAAAGGATTGCTGGGTTTCAGTCTGTACATTGTTTCAGAAAGTGAATTGGGTAGATTCACCTTTAAATGCTAACTGAATCAAATTTCTCCCTCATCCCTAATCATGAGTGATAGTTGGGTGGATGGGATGAAATGATCTGGTTTCAGGAGACATCTTGACTGGCAGAGAACAGAAGTCCAGGAATGTAACGCAAATAAATAAATAAAGGTTTAACTTCAATATGTGAACCAAACTTACATGCTGTTTATTTAACCTTTGCTTATCTAATAAGTCCAAGAGTTGAACCATTGAATTAGAGTCAGAAGGGACCCTGGCAATCATCTAGTCCAATCCCCTACAATATGCAGCTGTCCCATACAGGGATTGAACCTGCAATCTTAGCATTATCAGAACTATGCTCAGTCTAACCAACAGAGCTATCCAGGCCTTCAACTTCCCTAATTCCTAAAAACTACCCAAGAGATAACCCAGGTTGTTTTAACAGACTCTAATTCACACAACCATATCAGCACACTATACATCAGAGTGGAGCGGATTTGTGCAGAGTCCGGCACACGCTGAAGCAGTTCATATGCCCAGCTCCAACTCCACTCTATCCCTGTTCTCACACAGTCATGGCAATGTAGAGGCAATTCCAGGGAAAATCAAAATGGCGCTTCTGAGAAAAGTACATATTGGAGAATGTTCATCAATATGTGGAGATTGTGCCTACTGTCCTGACCCGAGACTTTCAAATGAAACAAACATTCCAAAGATACGCTGGGAAGCCTGGGTCAGTCCTCAGCAAAACACTTCTGTGAAACAGCTGCTGAACAGCAGTACCCTGGGCTCGGCTGCATTGGTTCCAGCACATCTGCTGGGAAGTGGGGAAGGCAACTATGTGGATTCAGCTGCAAAAGGGAGAACAAATTTCTCAGGGAAGTGTTGAAATTGATCTCTGCTCATTTGGGCCCTTTGCTTTAGAGTTACGCTAGTGCTTACATCCAAAATGGTACCTGATTGTCATCCAACAGAGAACCAAGATTTGCACGGCTCTGTGTTACAGCTGCCCATCACCCATTTTTCCAAAGTGCTATTGGTTTATAATTTTGATGAATGGTTTAGCTACATTTTCCTGCCACATGGTATAGAAAAAAATGACCACCCAACAGGTGGAAATATAACACACACAAATACAATAAGTCCATTGTAAGTCAAATTTCAAGAGCAAGAAAGAGGATAGTAGTACTAGATATAGGAAAAGGGTACTGTGTGTAATTTCAAGATTTAAAGGCCTGTCCCATACCTTTTGGGTTAATAGCTTATTCTTTATACATAAACCTTCCTCCACCAGTGAGAATGCTAACAATTTCATCCCTCATGGTAGTAGCATAAAGAGAAATAAAAAGAGATCCAAACACTTGTCCTGTATGGGCTGCAATTTGAAGACTTTCTTGCCAAATTATATATGTAATTTTAAATCATGTAATCTACAAAAAGATTAAAAATTCAAAGAAAAGCAATATAATAAAATAGCAAAACAAGCAAATATGGAGCAACAAACTCCACAAATGGCTTTGCCTCCAGGACATGTTGAAAACTATCTGTCGGACAACCAGCTCACAAAACATGTACATTGCTGGACACACTTTCAAGCTTTTCACGTACATTTAATTAAGATGAAAATGGAGGGTACTAAGGCCCAGGTCCAGATCTGTCAGGCTGCCAGTTCTATCTGTATGCCTCCAAACGAAGAGGACACCAGGAAAGGCAATTCTCAGAACTGGATTAGGACAATATTTGCTTTGAATACTTTAAAACTCTTCTTTCCAGTTATTTCCAGGAGCTCACTAAACATATCCCTCAGAAGGAACATTTCCAAACTTTATCTGATCATCTCTTGCTCCTCATGAGCGTGCGGCTTGGCCCTGGCTAATGAGCGTAAAGCAATGCAGTAGCGAAAAAAAACCAATCCATCTCCAAGTCTGAATAACTGAAACCAGCTACTTTTCTCAGAAGAAAAATGCACCAATCTGAAACGGCAAGGAATATCCATGAATTCATTATTCTGCTCCCATAAATAGTTTGAGCATTCTCTTGCAAAGATATCCATGCCTGGTGCTTACGGCCCTTTAGGCATCAATTAAATTGGACCCTTTGCAATGAACCACTTTGGAACTAAGAGAGAGAGAGAGAGAGAGAGAGAGAGAGAGAGAGAGAGAGAGAGAGATATCCTTAGGTCACATGCAGCCTTCAAGGCTTCCCTATATGATCCTTGGGAGCCAGCTCAGGCCATACACCTTCTCCAGCCATTTCCATTAACATGGCTCTCCCAATTGCAGGGAGAGAGTGGGGTAAAAGGATGCTTCCTTTCTTAGCTGCTTTCACATTCATGACCAATAAAATCTAGGCAAATCTTAATCTGAATGCCTCAAGAGCTGCTATGAAAGTTTAGCCTGTGTATGCTAGATCTTAAGACAAAGAGCACACTTTTGCTTTTTCCTTATCCTGCTCTAGTGAAAAATACATAATCCCAGGTGCACAAAACCTCCTGGCTGCTTCAGCACTTCATCAATGTTTCTGTCAGGTACAGAGACTTAGGATGTGCAGGCAAAAACTTTGCAAAGTTTCAGCTGACACTCAAACCCCTGTGAAATTTTAAGGTATTTAAATAAACATTTTGCAAATGACCTTTTTTTTTTTTTAAGCAAAGCTTTCTGAGCGATTCTTTGACTGGCACATTCTAATTCAGGAGAATTCTCCCAATCAGGCTCAGAATTAGACTAGGAAAGCCAAACTGTTGTCAACCCCTCCTTGAAAAACATTAGGAAATAACTTGGCTTGTTCCAAGCCCGTTTCCCAACCAAACAGGAAGGGTTCTAAATCCTCTTCCCAGCCCCTTGTTCCCTCAGCAGCTGTGTGGTCCTTGTTAGTATGTAATTCCTCCCTGTTTTAGGTAAGGGCCTTGCTTCTTAAGGGAAGTTTTTTGACAGAATGCATCAAGCTGAAGTTCAGGCCTCCTCCTGCATATGTAGGCGTGTTTATATCTGCAGCTAAGATGTCAGACTGTGTTTTCACTCATTGTGGAGCTGAGAGGAGGTTCTCTGTGTTGGAGTCCAACATATGGCTACTCAGTGAAGTCTAGCTCTGGCCTCTGAGTTTCAGGTGTTTTGGCAAGCTAATATTACATATGCATTTATAAAACTGATTTCATGATTGAATGTGGAAGAAGCTTGCAAACAATGAACTCATAATGCAAGTTTTATTTGCTCCCAATTCTTCATCTTATTGTGAAGCAAGCAATCTCCCCCTGCCAAAGCAACCCCCCTCTCTTGTCCTGTTTGTAATTCATATTGAAGCGCTTTGAGTTGATGTCCCATTTCTGCATCTGTACAGTTGGCATTCATCATACAATGTAAAGAGCTACTGTTAGGGCATGTTCAGCATTTGATTGCTACTAACTCCATACTAGGTTTTAGAAAGTGATATTACTTCCTGGCTTAGTTGTTTTGTACCATAATTTACAAAAGAATAGCCTGGCTCCATCATGACCATGGAAGATTGGAAAGGGTGGGTATGTTCCAAGAGCATGTTCTCTTCCATGATCTGTTCTAACCAATGCTAGGCAACATTTTACATGCTTGTCTTCTACTTTGACTTCTCCAACAACCCATAATAGTTGTAGCAAAGTTTTATTGGGCTGCTCAAAGAAAAGGGGAAAGCTCAAGGATCCACCATTACAGGAGGTTTGGATTATCTTTTCAGCTACTGTACTTTTAGTGTTTTTTTTTAATGGCCCTATAAATTAATGAATTTTGGGGGTCAAGGCTCTTTTTCTAGCCTTGCTACAAACCGGCCTAAGTGTCTTGTTTCAGGAAAAAAGAATGATAGTTTACTTTACAAGGGCTAAAATGGTTAAAACAAACAGCAAAAAGGGCCACCCACCCCTACACTTAATTGTCCTTTGGTAGTCCGCAGGGGGCAGCCAAATCAAAGCAGTTCTAGGAAATTAATAAAACAACAAAAAACCCCTATTTTCACAAGAATCTGTCCTTGATTAAAGCTGAAAACATGGCAGGCAGGCAGAAAGGGAACCGATTGTTCAGTGTGGTGTGCATAAAGATAAATAAAAAGAGAGAGTTTTATTTGTTCAGGGCACGATGTAGAAATCTGTGAAGTCCAGGGAAACAATGGTAAAACTCTATCACAGTCACACAGTGGTTTTTTTAAAGCAGACCTTAGGTTGGCGCTAAAGGTAAATCAAATTGCTGGAAAGGGGGGTGAATGGAAACATAGTGAACGACCTGCCCAGTGCTGGATTTACGTATAAGCTAAACAAGCTATAGCTTAGGGCCCCACTCTTTTGGAGACCCCAAAAAAATTAAAGGGAAAAAAAACCTGGATGTACATTTCCAAAATATAAGATAAAAAACCAATAAAATAAAACCTACATACAGCAACAGTGTTTTGTGTTGTGTTGCACATATTTTGTTATGTGCAAATGGCTTTAGATACCTATTATGTCCATAAATTACCATATAGCATACCTATTCAACACAAAAAACAGCGACAATTTGTTGTTGACAAAGGACAGCTGGACATATAAAGGGCCCCATTACCTTCAGTAGCTTAGGGCCTCATCAAACCTAAATCCAGCCCTGAACCTGCCAAGCTATTTGTAGAAATCGGCATGAATAACATACGTAGACCTCCATAGCAGAAACTTCTATCTCGTCGATTTAAAAATGGTGGGTGCCTTTGTTCAGGGAAGTATTCTTGGGCTGCTAAATTGTCAATAACCCCCCACTTTCGTCAATGGCTTCTCCCAGCCACCCCCAACCCTGCCTGTGGATTATTCTGATTCACATCACTGATTTATAGCCACTTCTCATGGCAAATAGAGGATAACACCAGAATCCTGATCCTGATCACCCACCTGATCACCCACCCCCAAACAGTCCTGACCACCCACCTGATCACCCACCTGATCACCCACCCACAAACAATTAGAAGCACATGATGGGGAGATTGGGGGCTCCGGAGCACCCTTCTTAGCCCCATCCACACTGTTGCATTTCCATTGCTCAGCTCCATTGCCCTCCACCTACTGGAGGGAATAACCTCTGCAAAGGGTGCCTCCTCTATTTGTGGAGGTTATCTGCATGATTTAGAACACAATCAGGGTTCTATGTCAAGCAGGAAGCCTACATGGGAATAGCAGAATCCTTGCTGCAGAGGTTACTCTTCCAGTGCATGGACAGTGACTTGCGCCTCCATGGACAGTTGTGAGTCCAGAATGACTCTCAGGCTGCGCACCTGGTCCTTCAGGGGCACAGTTACCCCATTCAGGACCGGGGAGTCCTCCACACCTGCCCGCCTCCTGTCCTCCCAAAACAGTACTTCTGTCTTGTCAGGATTCAACCTCAATCTGTTAGCGCCATCCATCC